GATTGATCATTCTGTCTCAAATAGCCCCTGATTGTCTTGGCTGCTCTATCCAAAGATTAGTAAAAACATGGAAGAGTGGAGGGCTATCCAGAAACAATCTATAACCATCCAAAAGTTTTAACCAGTAGCAAGAGCAAACATCAAATGAATGACAAAGAATACCCAGTTCAATATGAGATATGGCCTGCAGGGGTCTCCATTCTGATATTTATTATTTCTGAGCAGTCATCAAAGACATGTGGCTGTTTAAACTTTAAATCTAATGCAAAGAACCGATTTGAACTTTGCTGGCAAGAAACCTGTTTTATAGAATGTAGTCAAGTTTTGCAGTCAGGAAATCTCTCATTAAACTGAGCTGTACTTTACAAGCCTTGATATGGTTGCACTGGCACTTTTTCCTGACTTAAGCATTCACAGAACTGTGCTGGGATTTATAAGATCAATGGGAAAATGTCCAAACTTGTAAAAATTTCACTGGGCTCCATCCACTTGACTTTAATTTCTTCCATTACTTGAATGGTGCCCCTGAGATACTACCAAAATTAGAATGGCATCCATCAAACTGAAAAATATACCACATCACTATTCAAGAAATTAATGATGCACATTTTAAAGTTTATACTGGGAAGAAACAACTTCACATATTTGGATAACTGATGCACAAATGCAATAAGAAAAGGCTGTCTCTGATAGTGCTATTGCAGTTGTCTTTTATAATACAGTAAGCGAAAAGAATATATCATGCCATAAGGGTTGGGTGGGTTAGCAATGTTATACCTGATCATTGGATTGCATTACAGATTGGTTGTATTGATCTTTATTTGAGTAAAGGAAAGGTACAGAGAGGAAAAAACCCCACATCACCAGGACTACAAGGAGACTAGAAGAGATCAAGGATAATGAGTATTTGGAGAAATGTACAGGATGACAAATGACAAGACAAAAGCTATTGCACATTTTGGGCACTGCACATTTTGGGCAAATCGTGAAATAACATGAGCCACTGAAAAATGGAAGGCACTAGGAAAAGAAGACAAACACGTTGCAGATGGACTGATGCAATCAATGACCTGCATTTGCAAAACCTGAGCAGATTATTGCTGTGATCCATGTACTTCCTTGGAGACAGGTTTGGCTGAATCACAGAGCTATATCAAGAAGTAGTTTAAGTCTTGGACTACGACTCTGAAGACACGGGTTCGAATTACTGCTTAGCCATGAAAACTCACTGATCAGGCGACACATCCTCAATCCCAGAAAACCCTGTGGCAAGTTCATCTTAGAAACAATTTGAAGGCACATACTAGTAGCAAATAAGTAAAGCTGGCTTGGTGAAGTGGTTTGAGTAATGATGTAATTTAAAAGGTTAGAGTGGCATATCTAGATGAACTTATTGCTACTATGTAGTACATTGAGGTTGACCTTGACTTGTGGGAATCATGTCATAGGGCTTTTGGGAGGAGGCACATTTATTCTAGAGCCAGTATGGTGTAGTTATGGTGCGGAGTTGGCCATAACTTAGAAATGACTTGAAGGCACACAACAACAAATTTATTCAGAGAAAGTAGGCTGAATGGGAATCAAACCCTGGTCTCCTAATCCAGTATTTGAACCACTAAACTACACAGGCACTTTGCATGTAAACTCATCAGATACTAAAACACATCAACCCCATTGCTATATACTTTTGAGTGAACACATAAGAAGTTGTGCTGACAAAAACCATAAGCATACAAAAAGTACAAAGATCATGATTTATTTTAGAATGAGTTATTTAAGACTAGCGTTCAAATGTTCATTTTTAGATAATTACAGTATGACAAGAAAATAAGCAGAATTAAGCTTAAAATGACATGATTCTTGCTACCCTAAACTGTATTGTAATAAACTCCTCTTTAAAAATCCATTTGATACACAATGAGCATCTTTTTAATAGATATACTGTCTTTGATAGATGAGTAGCAATCTTCCATTAATCTAGTATCCCTGCTCAAGTTGGCGTCTATTGCCACAGATTCTGGTAGCAAATGGCAGATTTATTGGCGCTTTGTTGTACAGTATTCTTTTTTTATGTCTTGAATCTTGCCCTATTCAACTTCAGTGGATGACCTTTTCATATTATAAAAGGCAAGCATCTTCCTGTTCACTTTCTCCACACCATGAAAAAGGTGTGCATGTTTCTGTTACATCCTCTCTTGTTGACCTTTTTGTTCTAAGCCTTTTCAATTCTTGCCACATCCCACTTATTCTAGTTTCTCTTTTCTGCATCCTTCCCACTTCTGAAATGTCATCCTACAAGTGCAGTGGCACAGTGTTTCCAAGTGCAGACATGCCATAGATTTGCATAAGGACAGTATGATATCGGCAGTTGTTTGATAGCTTTTCTAACTGTGCTAGAATGGTGCTTTTTTTTAACACTGGCTTGCCATTTTCTGTGACATATATACATCACAATGCTAGGTTTTCTTTCTTGGTAACTTTCTAGCAGCCAGGTCCCATTACCGTACATATGAAGCCAGGATTTTAATGCCAAAAGTGCACCACTTTCTCTAGCCTACATTGAGCCTTGTTTGGTATTTTAATGTTAATTCCCCCCGCTTTGAAGAAAGCCATTTGTTTAAGAATATGTCTGAAAAGACTCTAGATTAGAATGATGTCATACTATTTTGGGGGATACAGGTGTTGTCATTGCCCAAAAGTCATTTTTTCTGTAAAGAGCTGTTTGACTCTCAACTTCTTGTGTATTGGGACACAAAACAAATACTCTGTTGAGAAATGTTGATTGCTTCAATGTTGCTAAAAAACTCCACAAGACTTTCCGTGAGTGCCAAAGATATATGATGACAAGCATACTTCACACATATGTACAAAGGGCGAAGATGCAGAATTATACTGTTCCCAGGGGCACAAACCTTCAGAGATATTTTACCAGAATGAAACCCATAGGGTTTGGGTTGGCTCCCTGCTTCAGAGCACCTTACTTAAAGGACAAACTTCTAACACACATATTTATTAGTACAGTATTTCTAAAAGACCTCTTTGGGGAAGTTTTCTGAAAAGACTCTAGATTAGAATGATGTCATACTATTTGGGGGGATACAGGTATTGTCATTGTCCAAAAGTCATTTTTTTCTGTAAAGAGCTGTTTGACTCTCAACTTCTTGTGTATTGGGACACAAAATAAATACTCTTTTAAGAAATGTTGGATAGCGCTTAGGTGGAAGACTGGCAATTAATATCTGGGGCTGTATGCTGTATTTCGGAAAGAGGAACTGATAAAGTGATATCTGACTATAGTGGACTCTTGGCATCTGTGGGGGTTTGGTTCCAGGACCCTGTGGAGATAGCAAAGAAACACAGATGTTTGGTAAGTCTCCAGAAGTTGGGTCCCATAACCATGCATGTGAAGATGCTGGAGTCGTCTGTGAATAAACAGGAGTAATGAAACAACAAAGATGATGGCAAGTCCTGGAGGCCAGAGGCACATTCTTTGTTCTCCTCCGCCTCTAGGGACCATGCCAGCCTTTGTTGTGGCTGCTGCGGTGCTTCTGTTCTATCAGGCATGGACAAACTTTGACCCTCCGGGTGTTATTGACTTCAACTCCCACAATTCCTAACAGCTGCGAATTGAATTCCAAAACACCTGGAGGGTCAAAGTTTGACCATGCCTGTGCTAGATAGAACTGGTGAGAGCTATGAAGCTACAGAGATAGAAGACCCTATGAAATAGTGAGGAAGCAGAGATTTATGCCAAGCACCACACTCTGAACCTCTCCGTTCTCTCCAGCCTCCATAGCTGTGCACACATTATCTCTGCAGTTTTGTCAATAGTAAAGGTAAAGGTTTCCCCCTGACATAAAGTCCAATTGTGTCCGACTCTGGGGTGTGGTGCTCATCTTCATTTCTAAGCTGAAGAGCTGGCGTTGTCCGCAGACACCCCCAAGGTCATGTGGCCGGCATGACTGCATGGCACGCTGTTAACTTCCTGCTGGAACAGTACCTATTGATCTACTCATATTTGCATGTTTTCGAACTGCTAGGTTGACAGAAGCTGGGGTTGACCGCGGAAGCTCACGCCGCTCCTGATTTGAACCTGCGACCTTTCGGTCAACAAGCTCAGCGCTTTAACCCACTGTGCCACCGGGGGCACCATTGTTTTGTCAATATTTTTATTTATTTATTTGCTTTATTTTTATACCGCATTTTTCAGCCTAATTCGGCAACTCAATGCGGTTTACAGTACTATATTACACGACTTCCCTTGGGTAAAGCATTGTGTTGTGTATGACACTATAATTTGAATCTATGAGTGGTAAAAATTGCAAATTCTGAGCCTGCGGATACAATGGGCCTGCTGTATCCCTTGCCTAAGAGAATCCTATAAAATCATGGGGTCACCATAAATCAACAGGTGACTTGGAGGCACTTATAAACACACACACACAATGTCACTAAATGCTTTGAGAGGTAAATAATAATGTAAGGTCACCAGAAGCTGCTTGATTTTGAAAACTAAGCCTTTCTCTCAGTATAGAGCAGGCATGGGCCAACTTGGGCCCTCCAGGTGTTTTGGACTTCAACTCCCATCATTCCTAACAGCCTCAGGCCCTTTCCTTTTCCCCCTCAGCCGCTTAAGCGGCTGAGGGGGAAAAGGAAGGGGCCTGAGGCTGTTAGGAATGATGGGAGTTGAAGTCCAAAACACCTGGAGGGCCTAAGCTGGCCCATGCCTGCTTTAGGCCTTGTAAAGCTAAATGATTGCACAGCATCAGGTTCTCAACCTGTGGGTCCCCAGGTGTTTTGGCCTACAACTCCCAGAAATCCCAGCCAGTTTACCAGCTGTTAGGATTTCTGGGAGCTAAAGGCCAAAACATCTGGGTACCCACAGGTTGGGAACCACTATTCTAGAGCGTGGGTGCATCCCTGAAGGCGAGAGGGGAGGAGGAAGGAGGAGGAGGAAAGCTTGGGCTCTCCCTCGCACGGTGAGATGACGTAATCCTCCCGCGACAGAGAGGAAGCAGCCCTTTCCCTCACTCCTCTGCCGGCTTGCTTCCCTTTCTCTCCGTGAGGAAGAAGCCCGGCGGGGAGGAGAAGATGGCGAGCTCGCAGGACGCGCTCAGGGAGACAACCCGGCTGGCCTCCTCCAGCGCCCTCTTGCAGGTACCGCCCGGCCTCCGCTGCTTTCCCCTCTCGCCTGCTTTCGTGTCACAAGAGGGGCGCGCCTTCCCTTTTAACTGCCGAGAGGAATTCTGGGGCTTGTAGTTGAGCGTTCTGGGGCAGAGCGTGCCACACGCCTCTTCCTAAACTACAAGCCCCGACATTCCATTGGATGTTGCCGTGGCAACTAAAGTAGGCTGTAGCTCTAGAATAGAATAGACTGATAGAGCCATTCAAAGAAGCCATTCTCAAGACCTAAGCAGGACTCTTGATGATGGGGTGACTTTGGGAAGGAGGACCATTATGAGTCTTAATTGACTTGAGGGCAGTTAAAAACAACTAAGATAGAGTCCAGAGAGAGGTCTCGTGTAATGGATTCACTCAAAGGTTGGATCCTATATATTAACTAAATGCAGATGAAATGCATTGAATTGGATTATTTGGCAGTTTAGACTCATATAATCCAGTTCAGTGCAGTAAATCCGCATTCTGAAACTGGATTATATGGCAGTGTAGATCCAGCCTTAGTTTGCTAATCTGGACAAGATGTTGTAGGGTTTCCGGATTGGAAACTTTGGGTGTATCTGCACTGTAGAATTAGTGCAGTATTACAATACATTAATTGCCCTGGCTCTAATACTGCTGCTGCTGCTGCTGCTGCTGCTACTACTACTACTACTACTAATAATAATAATAACATGTTGTTGTTCATTCGTTCAGTCGTCTCCGACTCTTCGTGACCTCATGGACCAGCCCACGCCAGAGCTCCCTGTCGGCCGTTACCATCCCCAGCTCCCTCAAGGTCAGTCCAGTCACCTCAAGGATGCCATCCATCCATCTTGCCCTTGGTCGGCCCCTCTTCCTTTTGCCTTCCACTTTCCCCAGCATAATTGTCTTCTCTAGGCTTTCCTGTCTCCTCATGATGTGGCCAAAGTACTTCAACTTTGTCTCTAGTATCTTTCCCTCCAATGAGCAGTCGGGCTTTATTTCCTGGGGGATGGACTGGTTGGATCTTCTCGCAGTCCAAGGCACTCTCAGAACTTTCCTCCAACACCACAGCTCAAAAGCATCGATCTTCCTTCGCTCAGCCTTCCCTAAGGTCCAGCTCTCACATCCGTAGGTTACTACAGGGAATACCATGGCTTTGACTAGGCGATCTTTGTTGCCAGTCTGATGTCTCTACTCTTTACTATTTTATCGAGACTGGACATTGCTCTCCTCCCAAGAAGTAAGCGTCTTCTGATTTCCTGGCCACAGTCTGCATCTGCAGTAATCTTTGCACCTAGAAATACAAAGTCTGTCACGGCCTCCACGGTTTCTCCCTCTATTTTCCAGTTGTCAATAATAACATATATTTATAATATTATAATGTAATCTATATAAATAAAAATGTAATGTTCGTTTGTGGGATTAAAGGTAAAGGTAGTCCCCTGACATGAAGTCCAGTCATGTCTGACTCTGGGGTGTGGTGCTCATCTCCATTTCTAAGCCAAAGAGCCAGCGTTGTCCGTAGACACCTCCAAGGTCATGTGGCCGGCATGACTGCATGGAGTGCCGTTACCTTCCCGCCGGAGCGGTACCTATTGATCTACTCACATTTGCATGTTTTCGAACTGCTAGGTTGGCAGAAGCTAGGGCTGACAGCGGAAGCTCACGCCGCTCCCCGGAATCGAACCTGCGACCTTTTGATCAACAAGCTCAGCAGCTCAGCGCTTTAAGCCACTGCGCCACCGGGAGCTCTTTGTGGGATTAACAGAACTCGAAAACGAATTGACACCAAATTTGGACACAATACACCTATCAGGCCAACAAGTGACCATCACTCATAAAAACATGGAAAAACACAGCAGAAGAGGCTTAAAAAGCAAAAAAATATATTAAAAAATACATTACAATGCATGTCCAAAACCACATGTATAGGCAAACACACAAATACACGCACACACATATATACACATACACAAAACATATATACACAGAATGGGCCACAGCAATGCGTGACAGGGGATGGCTAGTCTGTATAAATAAAAATGTAATGTTCGTTTGTGGGATTAACATAACTCAAAAACCACTCCACAAATTGACACCAAATTTGGACACAATACACCTATCAGGCCAACGAGTGACCATCACTCATAAAAACAATGAAAAACATTGCAGAAGAGAGAGAAAAAATATAATACATTACAACGCATGTGCAGTGCCACATATATTTACATATACACACACAAAACACATATACAGAGACTGGGCCACAGCAACGCATGGCAGGGGATGGCTAGTACAATATATTATTAATATGATATTATAATTAAATATTTCATATTACATGTAATATTACTAATAATATTTCAATATAATATAATATTATTACAATATGCAATTACTACAATATAAAATCATTACAATATACAATACTGCAATATAATGGTATAATACAATATAGTAATATATAATATTGATATTGTATCATGCTAATAATGTAATATATTGCATGTATATATCCCTTGTAAGCCACTCTGAGTCCCCTTCAGGGTGAGAAGGGCGGCATATAAATGTTGTAAATAAATAAATAATAAGCACAGCACTGACAGATCTCAAATGAAATCTCTGCAAGATAGCAGATGAAACAATAGATCATATCCTCAGCTGCTATGGGAAGATCGCGTGGATAGACTATAAGCAGAGGCATAACTCAGATGATCCATTGGAACTTGTGCTACAAATACCATCTACCTGTGACAAAGAACTGGTGGATCACAAACCTGTAAAAGTTACAGAAAATGAACACGTCAAACTACTCTGGGACTTACTAATTCAGACTGACTGAGTTTTGGAACACAATACATGGAAAAAAGACAAGTATGGATAGTCGATGTTGCAATCCCAGGCAACAGCAGGATTGACGAGAAGCAACTGGAAAAGCTTATACGATATGGGGATTTGAAGATTGAATTGCAAAGACACTGGCACAAGCCGGTAAAGGTGGTTCGAATGGTGATTGACACACTGGGTGCAGTGCCTAAAGATCTTGGCCTGCACTTAAAAACAATAGGCGCTGACACAATTACCATCTGTCAGCTGCAAAAGGCCACCCTACTCAAATCTCCACACATTATTCACTGAAGTGATCAAATACAAAAGCCAGCATAGTAATCGTTTGCTGTGTACTAATCTTGTTGTGTAAATAATAATAATAATAATAATAATAATAATAATTTATTTATTTATATTCCACTTTTCTCCCTGAATGGGACCCATAGCGGCTCACAACATTTTAAAAACAGTACAAACAACAAACACTTATAACAATAAAACCATCTATAAGAATGACATAAATAAACATTCTAAAATTGTTTAACAATTACTATTATTGCAGGGGCTTGTCAATTAACACACACTTCGTACAACTCACTGCAAGTTAACTATTGAATAATGGAAGTTGTTGTTTGAGAAGGTCTAGCCTTCTCTCCAAAGAGTGAAAGGGCCTTACTACATTACATCTCCCATGAACCATAGCAGTTAAAAGTAGTATCAGAGTGGATTCATTATGCACTTTTGAAGATTCCACTGGATCCATTATGCACTTTTGACTCTCCTCCTCCTCCTCCTCCTCATTATTATAATTTGAAACACAGCAAGATGAGTCCACAGCAGACACTCTGCTGGCTGTTGTACTGGATCACACGTCGGACACTTCTCAAGTTATTATTATTATTATTATTCTCCACTTGTTCTCTCTACAAACAAGACTCAAAGCGGTATGCAATACAAGCAACTCAATACTACTGAAAATCCAAAAATATACAAACATTAAATTTTTTTAATATTAATATTATTAAGAATTTGACTGTTAAAATCCTTAAAAGCACCTCTTGATTTGCTCTTCCACCCTTTGGAATCTGTTCTTTTATCCATCTGTCATGGTGCTAGACACCTATAATACTAACAACAGGAACTCAAAGGCTTAAGGCAAGGCAATGCCTCGAGGCTAGAGTGCCCCAGCACGTCCTGCCTCTTTTCACCCTTTCCTGCCTCCTCCTTGTGTGCCTTTTTCATTTATTGGAAATGGTGAGAGATCTGGGGAATGCTCCTTTAATGAAAGGGAAATGCTGGAGGAAAAGGGAGATGTTGGATAAGAGTGTCAGATAAGACGGAATGTAGGATAAGCGATGGTCAGATAAGCAAGACTACTGTACTTCAATTTGAAAGAGGCAGAATGGGAAATTGAGATGGAAGGAGGCAAAAATGCATATATGAAATGCAGAATGAGTGAAGGCTAGCATTGCATTTTTTTTAAAATAAAGAGCATATGTTTCCATTAACAACTAACAATTAAATGATGGACTAATAATTAACATTGTTTTATTCTTACACTTATTTATTATATGGTACACATTTTAAGGGGGTCCTTTCTCTTTTTATATCAATAAGTGGAATATCTTTTAAATAGGCTCACATATTAATTCTTCATCACAATCCGTGGCCAAGGCAATCTGAAGTTTTCAATGATAAATTCTAAGAATTTGTGTCTGGAACAGTTTTGCTATATATTTTCAGTTAATTTCCCACAATTTTGATTTAGCCCCACCTTCCCTGAGACAAGCAAAGTAGGAAATAAAAATGAAATATGCTCACAATTGATAAGAAGTAAATTCTGCCGCTTACTGGGCAAGTATTTTATTTTCATCAGGTGAACATGAAATGCTTATGTTTATTAGGTTGTAAATATGCACGTGAGACAAATGATTAAACTGGGGCTTCATTTACATAGAAAAATCATCAACTTGATGTAGCTGGAAAGAGGACCAATTTCATTTTGCAGATTAATTGTAGGCTTAATGTGCTGTTGTTCTGGTTATTTCATACTATATTTGATAACCTCTGAGAAACTTGGTATTAAAATTCAAAAGTGTGAGCCTGATTTAGTTTTTAATAATCATTATAATGATCTTTCATTTTAATTCTTACTCTGACACTGTCACATCTGATGACTGTGTACACATGTATTTGTGACCAGGTTCTTTGGCGAATTGTGGCCTCCCACAATTCACATGCAGTATAGGATGGATGAAATGACACACATACACACACATATAGTGTAGTCTCATTCATAAGTATTTCTGGGCATCATTTACAAAAGTGCTTACTCTATTAAACTATACTGTATGAAATAGGCTTGCTGTCAAGATGCATCTACATTGTAGAATTAATGCAGTTTGAGATCACTTTAATTGCCATGGATCAATGTGATGGAATTTTGTAAGTTGTAGTTTTACAAGGCCTATAGCATTCTATGCCAAAGAGGGCTGGTGCCTCATCAAATTACAAATCCCATGATTTCATAGCATTGACCCAAGGCAATTAAAGTGGTGTCAGATTGCATTAATCCAGCTACATAAATGCACTGGACGACTCCCAACGTTTCTCTGTTATTCTCCAGAATAATTTATTAATTACAAAATATTGTCTGTGAATCCACATGGATTCAGTTAAATTAAAGGGATTGTGTCCTGTAACAGAGAAAGTAAAGACTTTCTCCAGAGAAGGGACATGTTTGCAAACAATGTGCAGGTTGCTGTTCTTTGATTTCTCGGGATTTAGGATTGTTTCCTGCATATTTGTTGCTGTATTTTACTTGCTGTACTTTATTTGTATAAATTAAACAGATCGTTTATTTAGTCTTTAGTTTATTTCATTGCTAGTTGGTTGGCTCTTATTTTATGTACAGTCATAGCCCACTCATGTTGCAGTGCTGTCACCCATGGATGCTTACTTGGGAGATTAAAAAAATAGATTTATAGTTTTATAGCATGGGATGGATCTTCTTTAGGATCAGAGCTTTGCAGGGAAAAGTTAAAGTTTGCTTTCCTATGTGTTGTAGATCCAGTGTGCAGTACTGCTCATGCTATGTAGAAAAACCAAACTATCTCACAAACTAAAATTCTAATGTGCTTCCAACTAATGTTTAGAGTTGCATTTAGTGTGGCAGGGAAAGGAATAGATTATGGATCATATCACATTAGGAAATACTCAGTTTCTGAGAGTGTTTGAGATTTCTTGCAAGAGTAGTAGTTCGGGAGTTCGAGGCTACATCACTCTGCAATGTAAAAAAAAAACAAAAACATTTTAAAAGGGCCAGGGAGTGACTTAGGGAGTGTTTTGAACAGATTGGGAGGAGACAGCCTTCCATGGTGTGATGTGCAGTATTTTCTTGAGGCAAGAATTGAGTAATTGGTATGATGGACTGACCGAGTCAGTATGCATCCTGTCTGAAAACAGTGTACAATAAATCACAAAAACTATGGGATGCATACTGATTGAATTGAATATTTCTAAATGTGATGAGGTTCATAGTATTGCCACAGATCTGCAATTGCAAGTGGTCTATCCGTGTTCAGAGCTGGAGTATTCAAGACAAAAAAGTACCTCTGTCTCCTTGTGGCAGTTTCTTCTGTGCTGCTGGCTATAATGTATCATTTTGATCAAGGAGTGTGGGAAATTCCTTTGTTAAGCCAAGAGGGTTGACCTCAGCCTGGCAGGATCTATTTTATTTATGACTCAATGCGATGGATCTTGGGATTTATAGTTTAGTAAGGCACAGCACTATTAAAGATTTTGTAAACCTGTAGTGGTGTCAAATTGTATGGATACTGCAGAGGCTCCCAAAGATTTATTTGGCATTTAGTTTAATTACTTCCTCAAGATCTGACTTTGCTTAGGTCTGAACATTTTTAAAATGCCTTTCTCTTTTCACTTTATTTATTTATTTATTTATTTACAGGTACTGTTCCGGCTAATTACTTTTGGGTTAAATGCTTTTACGTTGCGATATGTATCAAAAGAAATTATTGGCCTTGTGAATGTAAGGTAATAAATTATGATAATTTTCTTTTAAAGTATGAACGATTAATGTTTCCAAATTATTTAGCTTAAGCTTCTTGGTATGATGCTGCAAGGAGATGTTTCAAAAGTTTTTAGCTGAATTAATATCTGCAGTGTTGTCTAAATGCAAATTTCTGCTTGTGATCTGGTTTCTTGGACAAATGAATTTTCTCTCTGCTTTATGTAAATATCCAGTAGCTGTTTAGCATGCTGTGTTTACATAGTAGTTTCTAATTTTGATAGGTGTTCAGTAATTCTTAGTGTTTTCTCAAACCTTAGTGGTGAATGTTACAAAATAAACTCAGCTTATTTATATGCAATGGTAATATAAATGTCAACATACAAGTTTACATACCAGTAAACAAGCTTTTGGCTTGTTTCCCTGTATTTTTTTTCAAATTAGCAGAAACTCTGAAATTTCTTGTTTCTAGTACTGACATCTCTGGCTGTCTAACACTATAGTAAAATTTCATCTTATGTACAATGGCTCCATTCTCTGCAGTCCTGGGATCTGAAGAGTGGTATTAAGAATTATCGGGCAGAGATCTCTAGTGCCTTACCAGACTGTAAGCCTTAGGATTCCATAAGATCCGATTAAAGCAGTTAAAGTGAGGTCATTGTGCTATAAATTTGTAGTGTGAAAGAATAGTACACCTGTTTTTAGCAGATAATCTCCTATAAATGGACATATATTTAGTGGTATGTGTATTAGGAGGTGAATTATCGATTCATAAATGTAATTTACATTTGTTCCAGAAAACAAATCTTAGCAGAGACCATTGTCAACTACTGCCAGACCTTCAAATTTGAGGGTTTAACTTTTTGTGGATTTGGTTAATACAGTCTCTCTAGGAATCTCTAGGTCCTCCAGCACAAATCTGTGAACATGTTGTGATGACCATATGTCACATTAGAGGACAGGGTTTACTAGGGAGGTGTTCTGTCAAGTAAAAAAATTAGCCTTTTAAAAACTTCAGTTTACCAGGGAGGTGTTCTGTCAAGTACAAAAATTAGCATTTTTACTATTTTTAAAAAAATTCAGTTTTTCCATTTTTTGCTGGAAAATGGAACCTTAGCAAATGTGGAGAGGTGACGCTGTGTGTCGTGATCTACTAAAAACAATTTAATTCTTTCATAGATTTAACAGTTAAGATTGTCTGTGTGGCTCCAAGTTGCCTATGTGGCTCCAACTTACGGTGTCATCATAAATTGCCTCAGATTTTTTTAAGGACACATAGAGGTGCTTTGCTGCTCTAAGCATCTAATGGGGGAATGGCCAATGTGGTAATGCATGTTGCCACCCTTTCTCCTGTCTGATGGGGACAGTGTGCCCCATCAGACGTTCCTACCGTCTGATGGAGAAGGAGGGAGGGCGAGCAGGATGCAAAAGGGAAAAAAATGGAAGGGGAGGGAGGGTTAGTGTGAAGAAGTCCCTAATATTATTTGGCAGACCCCATCCAAGTGCTAACCATCCTTGGCACTATTTAATTTCCAAGATCAAGTGGTATCTGGTGTTTTAAGGGTATTTATTATTATTATTTAAAACATAAGATTAGTTCACAGCAAACAAGATATATTATTATTGTTGTTGTTGTTATTGAATTTGCGTGATTTTAATTGCTGTTTTAACAATTTATGTTTTATTGCTATTTAATTGTAATTGTTATTTATTGGAATCTGTTTGTTTTTTGAGCATTGAATTGTTGCCAGTTGTGAGGCTGCCCTGAGTCCCCTTCAGGGTGAAAAATGGGGGGGGGGGGGTACAAGTATAGGAAATAAATAAATAAGTTATTATTTCCTCTTCATAGGGATTAATGGTGGCTAACAGTAATACACAAAATTTAAAAACATATACATATGAATAACAAAAATTCAAAACAACAACAACAACAACAAATGTTTATTGAGGGATGCAAACATTAAAGTGCAATTAAAATTCCATTTAAAACTCCATTTAATAACTAAACACCCACAACATCCCCCCCAGCCACAACATCCCAGACATCCTTTTAGGTGCTTGTTTTTGTGTATGTGTATGTGTGTATATGTGTATGTATATACATATATGTATTGAAGTATATTTTGGAGTAGAAAATCCAGTCTTCTCTGCTACATATATACCATTGTCTTAGTGATACATATTTTGTGTTAAAATTAGTCCTTCCCCATTTTTCTTTTTTGAAAATAAAATTAGGTTGATGCTGCTTTATTCAACAGTTGTTTTCTTAGCCAGAGAGGCATTTCGCAGAGCTTGCCTGAGTGGAAATACCAGGAGAAACTGGACCAAAACATTTAATCTTTTGTGGCTAACGTAAGTTTGAATGACATATTGGAATATTTCACTTATAAAACCTTTTCTTCCTTTCAATTAAGTGCAGTGCTTAAAATGAAATAATTAGCTACTCTTGTGTGGCTGCCAGTGGCAAATCTAGAGGCTATAGTTCCCTTTTCAAATATCTAAAGGGGATGGAGGGGCTAGAGCTGGTATGACTTCTATCACATTTCTCTTCCCCATCCGTCCTCTTTGAATCTACTCCAGGAAACTGTAGATTTGTTCCATATCAGATGCTGGGCTTCTAAAAAGTGGGAGTACATTGACTGCCTTGGCTTATTCTGCTTTGTAGCTTTTAAAGGGACATTTAGGGTGTCTACACAGAAAGGTGACAATCCTAATTTGAGTTTGTGGCATTTGGGTTTTATCCTCTCAGAAAGACCACTTCACAAGGTTTCAATTGTGTGTTTCATCTCTGAGTTTTGCTTATACTGTACTTTTGAAAAGCTAGAACAGTCGGTTCTTTCAAGTCATGATTTGAAGGAGCTGGCAGCTTTGTATATAGGTTAGGTATAGGATGTGAAACTCTCAAATACTTTATTTCATATCTAAACTGTAAATGAAAGAGTTGTGCTTATCTGCAGTGCTGCATTTCTAAGGATTTAACTTGGTTTCATGAGAATCTAATGCATATATTAACTACCACATATCCCCGAAGCACAGCTGGGCATTTCTTTAGTTCCTGAGCTACTGTGCAGAAAGCAGTCATGCAGATAAGGTGTCAGCTTGAGAAGTATTGATTTCTTGAGTAACTAAGTATGTATGTAGAGATCTCAAGGCTAGTAATACATTTCAAGGAATGCTGGAGATAAATCAGGAGTACCCTATGCATATATATGTGTGGGAAAGGAGCTGCATAAATAGTTGTCTTTTACTTTATTTAAAAGCCTAGTGTGTTTTAAAATGGGCAGAAAGGAATAGAGGAAGAAAAGAAGGAACCTTGAGTTTATTTTGATTAACTGACAGCTGAGGAGAAGTTAAGAACATGGAAACATCTAAAGTTTTTGCCTTTACAGTGTCCCCTTGGGTGTGTGTTGGTCTCTCTTCCTGGGATGGGTCTGGCTAGATGTACTTGAAGTCCCTGATGAAAATACTGTCCCTCACTATAACTTTGGAGTAGTTGCCTTTGGTCTTTCTGCTGTGATTGAACTCCTGGGTGAACCTTTTTGGGTTTTAGCACATGTGCACTTATTTGTAAAGCTGAAGGTAAGTACGTAATGCACACAAATTGTTATTCTTTTTCATTTCCTAATTAATGAGAAACATTTACAGTTGGATGAATGAATGAAATCATAAATAGTTTTAAAAAGCAAGAGGTGTGTGCAGGGCCGTAGCCAGAAAAAAATTTCGGGGAGGGTTGAAAATTTCGGGGGGGGGGGAGGTTTCAAATTGGGGGGGTTGAAAATTGGGGGGGGGGTTGAAACCTGCCTCCTAGCTCATGCTGAAGCAAAGAGCACAGCAGGGGCAGAGCAGCCTTCAATAGCCTGCAGCTCTCAACCACCTCCACCAAGTCTGGCCTCCTTAATGAGAGCATTCAACACCCCCCCCCCACCAACTTGGTTGCTTCGCTACATCGGCTATTGCTGCAAGCAATTACAGTTGAATAAATTGTCAATATTTGCTTGAGATAGTGCTTGCAGTTCTGGAGGGACTCTTAATTTTTTGCGTCTCATAGACTTAGCATGGGGATTTGGTTAACCAGTTAAAATTCATGAGTAAACCAGGTTTATTTTTTTAAACCTGAAAAATTTCAGGGGGGGGTTGAACCCCTAACCCCCCCCCCGCTACAGGCCTGGTTGCGTGGTAATATATATATATATATATATATATGAAAGAGCTGTTTTCATTTTAAATTTAGGACACTGGTATTAAGCAATAAAAGCATTTTTTATTCATCTGTGTAATGCAAAAAGTAGTTGTTAGGGTTCCAGTTAGGATTTTCCATGCCATCGTATATCCCATTTCTATGTATACTTGTGAAAGCTGGACAATGAAGAAAGCCGATAGGAAGAAAATCAACTCATTTAAATGTGTTGCTGGAGAAGTGTTCTATGACTCTTGGGGACAAATAAATGGGTCCTAGAGAAAATTAAGTCGAAACCCGCCTTAGAAACCAAGATGACTAAGTTGAAGCTGTCCTGACTCACTTGAAGCTGTCCTGACTCACTTTTCAAGTGACATAACTCACTTGAAAAGACAGTAATGCTTGGCAAAAAGGCAGTAGGAAGAGGAAGATCTCATTCAAGATGGATGGACTAAATCAAAGAAGCCATGGCCCTGTGTTAGCAAGACTTGAGCACATCTATTGAGGATTGGGTGACTTGGGGGTCCCTCATTCATGGGGGTCCCCATCAGTTCAAGTTGACTTGACGACACTCAACAACAATAAGACTAAATATGTTGGATAAGATCCAGACCAGGAGTGCAATCGTGCTGAAATATGAATGTACTGCTTCTAAGTGGAACAAAACATCTGTTAGAAATCTTTGTCCGCCAAATTTTAGTGGTGGAAAGACTAAGAATTAACTGTTATCATGTACATACATATGTGTGTGTGAGAGAGTGACTGGTTCCTTCAGACATATACACCCACTGGAGTTTGGATGTGTTCCTAAAGCCTCCCCTCTAATCTGTCCGACTACCCAGGTGTCGTAATACTAGTGCACCATATTAATCTGCACATTTGTTGCAGAAAAATGCATGCAGCCTGGTATTGCTTATTTCACATAGACTTGGAGGTTTCTTGTTACGTTTGTGCAATACATACTGCAGTTGACACGCTAATGTGTCGCAAGACAGTTTGGAAAGCTCTGATGTAAGAGAGTAGGAGGTATGCTGTATACATAGTTAACATCGTTTTTGTATATTTTTTGCAGGTAATTGCTGAAAGTCTGTCAATCATTTGCAAATGTTTTTTTACGGTTATTCTAGTGGTCCTGTACCCTCATTGGGGGCTATACATTTTTTCTTTGGCTCAGGTATGGCTTCATTCTCTTAAACGTTATTTCAAAAATCTGTCGTATTAATTTGAATTGAATAAATTGAGAAAGCATTGCTGTTGTTACCAAATTTTGTCCTTTTCTATCATAAACTAGTTTGTTACAGATCCTGCTGATTTACTTTTGTCCAAGGCCCCTTCCATACAGCTCTATAAAATCAACATTGAATTGGATTATGTGGCAGTGTGGACTCAGATAACCCAGTTCAAAGCAGATATTGTGAGTTATCTGCCTTGATATTCTGGGTTATATGGCTGTGTGGAAGGGCCCTCAGTACTAGCTTTCTGTTTGAGGATTTTGGCGGAAAGTATTTATATACGATAATCAGTTATCTGTCATATGCATGTAATTTTGTGTTCAATTAGGCATGGAAAATAAATTATCTGTAGCTTAAACAAAATTTACAAGGCACATACATAATTGACTCTTGTTTAAACTCTTTACTGGCAATAAAAGGAATCATGTCAGTTTATTAAACCTTTTCTTCCACAATGAAATGATCTCATGTTTTCATATATGAGGTTATAAAATAGCATATATGGTTCTTAGGCAGATAGCTCTAATGGTTGTTATATTTCATTTATGGCTAAAATATGTGAAGTGGAAATGTCTCTGATTTCCAGACTGCAGTCCCTTATGTATTTGAGAATAAGACCTATGAATTCACTGGGATTTATTTCAAAGTAGACATTTATTGAATTTCACTGTTAATGAATGCTTTTTCCTAAGAGAGGGCAAACTGCCTTCTTTCTGGTCTAATTAAGCCCTCCACAAAACTGGTCTGGGAAAGACTCTGAAGGAATGTGTAATAAAAGTCATGAAAGCCTCGTGAATCCTCAAATGTTTTTAGGAGGCCTTTTTCTCATTTTTGAAGACTTTTCAAAAGCATTAATGAAGTGGAAGAGATTCATTAATTTGGGTTAGCCATGAAGATTAAAGTGGAATTGGAATTTAAAAAGTAAACTAGTCATCATCATTATATATTATGTACTGTCACATTTTTGTGACGGCTGTAAATAGCATTCCAGCTCCTTAACAACTACATGTATCTTTGGGTCTTGATTTAGACTTTTGGTAGAAAGTAATGGCTATAATAGTGTTTGTGAGACTGCTGCACTTTCCTAAGTTTCAGCAGTTTGAAAAAGCTTGCACTAATTGCCTTGTGGGCCATGACAGCATGACAAAAGTAGATCAGGATTGTTTAAAAATGGCAGCAACAAATCAAGGAGCCTTTCACAATATAACAAGGAATAATGTGTTGTCGAATAGCTTTTGTGTGGAACAACAGTGACTTCCAGACAGTTCTGATAGAGAAAATAGCTTCTGAGATAAGATGTTTTTTTTCTTTCATTGCACTAGCCTCTAATGTTTTGATCTTGGGGTTCTGTTAAAAAAGAAAGAAAGAAAGAAAGAAAGAAAGAAAGAAAAAAGAAAAGTATAAATCTGTCCAGCAGTGATTTTGGTGCAGGGTGGTGATTCTAGGAAATAATTTTTTTTCCTCCAGATGAGAAGCTGTCCTTGTGCTTGAATTGTCCACTGGCATTTGAATCTAATCAGCAATCTGTTTGTTGTTAAAATAGAGTTTTAGCTACAGTGTTCAGTAGAGTAATGGAAAATTGTTCTTGCAGCTTTTCTATACCAGCATTTTGGTATTATGCTATGTAATATATTTCATGAAGTTTCTGGGCTCTCCCGAAGCAACCAAAAAATCATTCCCTGTTTCACGGATCACATCTGTTTTACCTAATTTTGGAGGAGATGATGTAAGTAAAACAGCTTTTTAAAAAAATATCTTTTACATAAGTTATATTCCCTCCCATTATCATAGTCTTGGGGTGGTATACAATAAAATCAATGTAAACAATTAAGAATATATAAACAGACTAAAAGTGTACTAAACAATTTGACAAGTTAAAACAGAATTAAAAAACAACACAAAAATCATTTATGCCTCAAAAGCTATTGAGAAGCCATATTCCAATCATGCACTGCTAATTGTTCCAAATAATTCCTGCAGTAGATGTTATTATAAGTCTCTGAAGAGGAGTGAGAACAGAAATTCAGGAACAGAAATGTAGCAAATACATTCAGTTCACCTTGCTACAGAGCTCTGTGCCATAATGAATCTGGTAACTCCATATTCCAGGATTTGTCATTGGCTGAAGCCACGTTAAGGTGAACACAGTTATATTTCTACATTTGATCTTTACAATCAACAAAGTAAAATTGAGGTCGGGGAAAGAGTCCCTCTCCTCGATCCTTTCCAGGAGTTGGACTTCAAATGCTTGTGTTAAGTCATTTCTTCCTATCTGTTTTGTTTGCATTTTTAAAGGTTATAGTTTATTGAACATATTTCCTTGTATACAGTTTTATTTTATGTAATTGGTTCCCAGTATAGAAAAATAACTGAATAAAGTTGTATGGCTCAAATGGTCTGTAATACAGAGAAACAGCTATTGCTCCAGAAAGGTTAGGAATATAGTTCTGCTTCAGTAGAGAAATCTTGTAAAAATGATGCTGTTCACTTGATTCCCCCCCCCCTCCATTTAATTTTAAATGCACACTTTTACGAAGAACACCCCCCAAGATTCCATTCATTACACCTGAATACTTGTACTAGTTGACATTTCACCACTAGTTTGAAAAGTCACTTTCTTGAATGACGAACATAAAGAAATTATCCAGTTTCTCCCACTCCGTTTCTTTGCCTATTTCCTGCTGCAGTTTTGCCATGTGAAGTGTAATTCGTTCTGACATGTTCCATAATGTATCATTATTCCCACAATGGAAGGAAACCTGTTTCTAATTAGCCAGTGTTCTGCCTGATCTAAGATTATTTTATGAAACAGGTTTTAGTGGCTTGTTTCTTTAAGTCAAAATGTACAAAGAACCTACAAAGAAGCTTAATAAACCTACCTATTTCTAAGGTATCTTCCATAAACATACCTGACAGCTGGATAGCTGAAATGTTGCTGAAAATATAGGACCTAATAGATTTATTATAAAATAAAAATGTTATACACAAGGCTTATTGTGTCTTTTAGACATATTTGATAGGTTTTGCCCTGCCCCGAAATGACTTTCTCTCATAACTGGATTTAACTAAATTTTGCTTAGAGGAGATTACACTGCAAAGGAGTATAAGAAAATCATAGCATGCAATTTATCATTCAGAGCAGCTGCTTGACTTATTTAATGTGAAAATTCATGTAACATGAATTAACATTAATGGCAATAAATCATAGCCCTTTTGGTTGTACTATTGGGAACTGATGAAAAAGACTATAATACCATAATTTCTGACAGAATACCCATGATCTTTATGCTACAAACTGGCTCACAGAGGTCCAGCGTGGATATAATTATATTTTTCCTTTATTGGCCAGTTGATCCATTCTTTTAGAGTGGATTGAAGAGGATCATGTCAACACTGTTTAATGAGCATGAACCAACCACAATAGGCCCCCAGCTTTTGTGGGGATGAGGGGCTCAGAACCGTGGCAAAAGTGGAAAAATATAGATTAAACACTTCTTTTTTATATGAGAGAGCACCTCTCTAGGAAACTCTGGATCTTCAAGAGTGACTCTGGTCAAGATCAGGTGACAGTCAACCATAGAATCACCTTGGATGATCCAGTGGTTCCCATCCTTTGTTCCTCCAGGTGCTTTGGACTTCAACTTCCAGAAATCCCGGCCAGTGTACCAGCTGTTCGGAATTGTGGGAGCTGAAGTCCAAAACCACTGATCTAAACATTCCTAGAAAGAATATGTTATTCAAACCTGCAAATATTCATTTATTTACTGTATTTATATACCGCTTTTCTCACCCCAGTGGGGACTTCAAGGGATTTACAACAGATAATGGCAAAATTCAATGCCTCACATACATGTAAACCAAATCATAGATCTAAACAAAACATATAACTGAGCATTAAAATCAATAAGATAATTAAATATAAGATAAAACAACAATTAGACATGAAGACATAAAATTAAAACTGCCTAATAAAAACATTAAAATCACAGGATCCAAACTCGTAGTTATGGAACCTCCTTCAATTAACCTGGAAACTATTACTACTACATTCATATACCGCCCCTCTCAGCCCGGAGGCGACTCGAAGCGGTTAACAGTAGGCAACAATTCGATGCCGAAACAATTACAACAATTTAAACAATCATAAAATACTATTAAAACTTCAACAACAATATAAAAATATAAAAAACATACAAAGCCTTAAGAATATTATCAAAGCGTCTCCAAATCAAATCATTGTCCAGTTGCGTCATCAGTGATTCCATAATATCATGTCTCTATGCTATATTTGGGAAAGCCTGCTCGAAAAGCCAGGTTTTCACCTTTTTTCGGAAGGGCAGGACGGAGGGGGCCAATCTTATCCCTCTAGGCAGTGCGTTCCACAGCCGAGGGGCTACTGTTGAGAAGGCCCTGTCCCTCGTCCCTACCAGTAGCATCTGAGAGGAAGGCGGGAATGAGAGCAGGGCTTCCCCAGAAGATCTTAACATCCTAGATGGTTCATAAGGGGAGATACGTTCAGATAGGTAAGTTGGACCGAAATGGTTTAGGGCTTTATAGGCTAAAGCCAGCACTTTGAATTGTGCCCGGAAGCAAATTGGCAGCCAGTGGAGCTGGTGCAACAGAGGGGTTGTATGCTCCCTGAGCGCTGCTCCTGTTAACAACCTGACCGCCACCCGTTGGATCATTTGAAGCTTCCAAACAGTCTTCGAAGGCAACCCCACATAGAGCGCGTTGCAGAAAGCTATTTTCAAAGGGAGAAATAGGCAACATTTATTGCTTCCTCATCTATGACCATAGGCTACGTACTGGACTGTAGCCCCTTCACTGTCTGAAAGGCCTGACATCGATGCAAAAAATAATCAAACCCCCCCAAAGTTAAACACTGTAGCTCTATTGTATTCATGTTGTATATAGCTTAGATTGATAACTGTATTTGGAATTTCAATTCCTTTAATATCCCTTTATAATTTGCTGGCTGTTTTATTTGTAGGAATTTGTAAACTGGAAAGAAGCCAGATTGACCTGGAGTTTTTTTAAACAATCATTTCTGAAACAAGTTTTAACAGAGGGTAGGTTGGAGTCTTTCTTCATCTTTTCTTGAGCACCTTTCCTTTTTCAATCAACTTAGGAAAAATGGTATTTGGACCTCACCACACCCCTCCCATTTCATTGTCCGCAGAGTGTCCATGTCACAGGGTTTTTTTAAAATTGTGCAATTTTAGAAGAGTTTTCAAAACAGAAAGTTATCAATTTGCAGTTACAGCAACTTTTTTTTTAAAAGGAGGATAGAGTTATTTTCCAGTCCTTTTCTGTGTCCGAAGAGTAATAGTGGGAGAAGGACCACTCACATTCATGCCTACACTGAAATGTCACAAAACAAACTGAAAATGGGCAAAGGCGCCATTTCCCATCCTACAGAAAAATACCAATTCCTAAACATAGGGAGATGAGTGGAGCCAATTTCCAGCCCATCTTTCAAATCCACCCATTTCTACACACTGCAGAAATACAGTCCCTTGGGCAACCCATAGAATGGGTTGTACGTCATTTCATGGGATCAGTAGGATTTTGTCTTTGAAGCAGGTAGAAACAGAGGGCACTTTGAAAAGTCTTGAAAAGTTGCATATTTCATTTTGTTTTGATCTTCCAAATTTTCCTGCCGTTCTTATGCACTTACTAATAGGCTTATAAATATTGATATGAATAGCGGCTGGATTTGGCATATCATATGTTCACAAAAGTAATTTGAGGTTTCTTTTGCAAATATAATGGCAAACAAAATAAATTCTAATGTTAATTTTATAGGTGAGAGATATGTGATGACTTTTCTGAATGTGTTGAATTTTGGAGACCAGGGTAAGTAAGGCAATTTTACCAAGAATACTTAGTCTTTGCTGTTTTTCATTTAGATTAAAAGACTTCTGAATATTAGGAAAACCTTCTGATCTGAATCTTTAATGTAGCTGAGAATGATACAAATTCTAAAACCATTATATGAAAAAATAACAAAATGTCTAAGTTACTGTTTTTTAAAATTACAGTTTTAGTTATACCATACTTTATGGAGCATATTAGAACAGTAATATTCTATGAATTGCTTTGTGCTACACTTTTAGTGCATATTCCAACATTACTACTGTCCATTGCTTTGTAAATTAAAAAAGTACAGGAGTTGCTTCAGTGTTGCTTCCTGGGTGATTTAGGTTGAAAATAGTACCCATTTAATGGTGTTGCTGGTAATTATGTCATATCCCCTTTCCAATGGAAGTCTTTCTTTTTGCATGGGAAGCCAGTAATCTACAATCTGATGTTGTGCAGTGGATCATTCTTGCCACACGATGATGATGGTGATGATGATGATGATGATGATGATGATAAATCTTATTTGTTACCCAACCACAACTTGTCTTGCAAACCATACTGTGTTATTTTAAAAGACAAGTTGTGGTTGGAGCATGCCAGTGAGATAGAAAATCTGCTTTTATTTTGGGAAACTGCTTTAAAGTTTTGATTGAAGCTCAGATCAGATTGTTCACTTGACTGACATGGGGAGTTACTAGCCAATAATGGTGTAAGGTCATAGTTTGAATACTACTTTTCTCACCTTATGGCCACAGTGTACACACGACTGGGTCTTTCAGTATGTTTAGACTAGCATCTAGTGTAGTTTTCAGAAAAAATTAGAGATGTTTTGGAATCCCAGGCCATTCCCAGGCAACAGGAGAAAGTGATACCAATTCTCATGATAATAGGCCAGAATGGCTTTTGGAGGAGGAGGTGAGAGATTAAGGTTTTTCTAGATCAAGTCACCTTGAAATTAGAATGCAGAATGTAAAACAAAAGGCAGACTTATTTTTCTCAGAGGCTTAGACATAAGGAGAGGAAAAGCAGGTGTGTGCAAAGTGATGTTATGGGAGTGATTGAGGCCTTTTAAGTAGTTTCTGGGCTCTAGGCCTTTAGTGAGAACAACATTGTAAAAAAGAGGAAACAACTTCCGGTTTCTAGTCCTAAGTTCCTGATTCCCGTATTTCAAGATTCTTGGTTTGATTCTTGTTTATGACTTCATGTTCTTGGAGGTTTTGCCTTTCTTATGTTCCTGTTTTCATGTTTATGGATATAACTTTTGAACTTTTGTTTTACCCTTGTTGTAAACCGCGTTGAGTCACCTGTTAGGCTGAGAAACTGCGGTATACAAGCAAAGTAAATAAATAAATAAACAAAAACAATATCCTGCTTGAGGATTATTTTCTTTGCATTAACTCAAGACTCTGTGGATGCCTTAGTTCAAAAGCTGATGAACTCTTGATCTCGTTGGGAATTGCTTTTTGTATTTTTGCTGCTTCTTTTTTGACTTGCCTTTTTCTTTTCATGCTTGTTCATTAATCAGCTTTTACTTATTGGATAATCTGAACATTGTGTGGTGTTGGGTGAAAAGGTCTTCCAGGGCTACAGTTTAACATACAATACATGGAAAGTGGCAATCTGATTCCACATTGCTTAGTTGGAGAGAAAATAGCACATATTACCATTGATATTAATAGATTGATAGCTATAAAGTAAATCTAAAGAAACAGTTTTGGTACTGTTTCATTATCTGGGTGGAGACAAAAAGGGGGCCTAGACAGAGGGGGGTTGAAGAAGTAAATCAATTTCCCCCGGTTTTCCTGTTATCCCCCCCCCCCATGTTGGCGTGGAAATAACCTTAGTTTATGACATAGGGTGGGGAGAGGAAATAACCAGCAAAAATGGGTGAAATAGTTTGCAGCCTTCAACTCCTTGATCCCCCGTAAAATAGACTATCCTCTGTCTTTTGGAGTCCACCCATACAGTGGAACAGTTCTGCAGTTTTTATTTTGCATGAATTTTGCATGGTAATATTATATTATATTTGAAAGTCTAAAAATGAATTACCATTTTTTTGTTTTATTGTTTTAGATTTTTTTTTACTATAAAATATTCTTAACATTATTAGCTAATAGTGAAAAATAGTGATAGTTTTTATTGATGTTTGCCATTTGCTGAATGTTATAAAAAATCTTTGGTTCAGAGTGAACGCTATAGTGTTCGCACAGTCATGGACCTTATAACTGTGTTATGACATTTACAGTTTTTAATCTTCATATATTGATAAAACTTTTTACATGGAAAATATATTTTTATAAAGACATATTTATATGATTTACCAAATTATAAGACATGTATCATTCCTTCTACTGTTACTACTGATCATACTTTAATTTGAAAAGCAATAATACAATATTTTTTGTTTATTTATAAAGGTGTATATGACATAGTGAACAACCTCGGTTCTCTGGCTGCTAGATTTATATTTTTGCCAATAGAGGAGAGTTTTTATGTTTACTTTGCTAAAGTTCTGGAACGAGGGAAAGATATCAAGCTGCAGAAACAGGTAAATTTACTTGTATTACAAGTAATACACTTGTATTACAATTAAAGTAGCTAACATATAGACCAAGGTTGGGAAATATAATTAAGGGAAATAGTAAATCTCACTGTATAGATATTATGATCTATGAAAGGAAGATATTGATATTAATGTTTGTTTTATTTTTATATGTATTTTTCTGAGAAGCTCTGATTAAAGTTTATGATAGAAAAGGCACACATAACATACTCGTATTTGTGAAACTCTCATAATTTGTATTGTTATTTCTTATGTAAATGTTGGTTTTGTTATGGTGGGTAGGCAACGGAGGAACACCAGGGGGACAGCATTAGATCTTAAGGATATCTTGTAGAGTCACAAATAATGATAATAATAGCAATCTGCACGCATTATTCGCTGATACATCACACAGTCCTAGACACTTGGAAAGTGTCTGATGTGTGATCTAGTACAGCAGCCAGCATAGTGATCTTGTTTGCTGTGTACTAATCTTGTTATGTTCCTAATAATAATAATAATAATAATAATAATAATAATAATAATAAAAACAACAACAACAACCCGCCTCTCCTTGAATTTGAAAAAAACATGCCCCAAATGCCTCTGGGTTTATGGGGGCATTTTGTTCAGGGTGCCTGCAAAATATGGTAAAAAT